CCATCTATAATGGAATTGCTGACAACATTCCTATGGTAGTCTTTATTACTACATATTTGATCGTGAACATAGGTGCTCTCGGCTTTCGCAGTTTACCTGTATCATTTTCATATTTTTGGCACATTTAGCCGTTTGCATATATATTCAATGGGATGTGACACTTCTAATGTGTTCTGTGATTCCGATGTTGATTGTGAGTCGGATCCTGTTCAGCAAGGTCAGTTTGACCTTATTCCCTTTTTGTGTGGCTTAGTTTTTAAGCTAATCTATCGGAATTAACTGCTTTTAGTGGTTCTCAAAAACTATGGATGAAGAAATGGTCCTGCAGAACAAACTTAGCAATTTGGTGAATGAAACGTTTAGCTGTATTCGGACAGTCATTTGTTTTGCCGCACAAAAGCAGACAATCAATAAGTAATAGCAAGATGAAAAGTTTATGGCGTATCCCTTTTTGAAATGTTTTTTCTCCCAAAATGTATATTTAGGTTTGAACGACTTTCTATGGAAGGAAATAAATTGACGGAAGCGCGATTACGCTCTTCAACAGTCTATGACAGTTTAACTCAGGTAAAGGCCAGTCCTCGAAAATGCATCTTCCCTCCAGCTACTGAGAAAAAAAGGCTTCTAGATTCTTCTCACAGAGATGATATTCACAGGAGCCCTATGTTACGGAATATGGAGGGTCGCAGACCAAGCTCCTGGAAGACTGGCAGCAGTGAGTTCAATAAAGTTTCTCGCTTTCGCAACAAATCAACATAGAACAGTATTCAGCAGCATTACTGTCTGCCTAATGGTTAACCAGCTGTTAACCATTAGGCAGACAGTAATGCTGGTTCTATGATAAATGTGATATATTTAGCTAGCTATCAACATGCTTTACATGTGCGTTACGTCAATCTCCATAGGCTTCCATATCAATGGTGCTTCTACTGCACGACAGAATGCTGCACAACTTTGCAAGATTATGGGTGAGGTCTGTCGTTATATAAAATTACTGAGTAGATTTTACTAGCAATTTGCAGAAGAAAAACCTAAAATTGAAAGGGATTATG